TATTTTTAACCCAATAAATATAATCATAGAAAAAAAAATATGCATATCGGTAAGTTTTTTTCAAATTGTACAAAAAATAAAAAAATTCACAGTTCCGGTTACCGCAACCGTTACGCTATGGCCTTTACACCCCGCAACCGCAACCGTACCACCGCCACCGTTACGACGACCGCAACCGCTTTTCAGAACCTTGGTGAGGTATCACCTAACTATGAGTTCACCTTTATTCTACTTTATCTTCTCTTAATGAACCTGTGTTCAAGTGTGTAATGTACACCTATTTCTTTTAGTTTGTAGCTGCAGAAGGTGATACTTTTGAAACAGGGACAAAAATAGCAATCATTTTGAAGTCAGGTGAAGGTGTAAGCCATGTAGCTCCATCGTCGACCAACGCTGAGCCAGCTCCTTCAGAAAAGAAGGCAGACAAGCAAGAGCATACCACAGAAACTCCTGTTCTTAAGGAGGCACCCAAGGAGAAGCCTAAGGCACCTCCACTACCTCCATCTAGACCTCGGCCACAGAACCTCAACTTCCTCCAAAGGAAAGGGAAAGAAGAGTAAGCATCATGATCCCTGATAATTAACTAATTGTGCTGTAAAGGTTTCATTTTTAGGTTTAAACAATATCCACTTGTTTTTCTTTCTTTTTTTAAAAAAAGTTACACGAAAAATAGTAGAAACAATTTTCTGTTTCACCAAATGTTCAGGTTCCAATGACAAGACTCAAGAACGTTTAAAAGACTCTCAGAATACTTTTGCGTTGCTGACTACTTTCAATGAAGTTGATATGTAAGTGTTTATTTATTTATTAATTACACTAAAATGTTGATTAAATATTGCCGCCCTTCATTAACCAAGGTGCATGATCTTTCTCATGGTCTCTTGGTGATTCCTAGACATATTTCATCCCCAAATCTGTACTTTAGGGTAAAATTGCATTGTGAAACATTATTTGCATGATTCATCAAGGAGTTTCAATTTTCATCACGAAGTGTAATGTGCATTCCTTGCCCCGTATAGTTTGATTCAATTGACTTAAATGTTTATTTTGTTTTCCCTTGTGGCAATTTCCTTATATAATTCAAGGCTAATTTGATGAAGCTTCGTTCTGATTACAAAGATGTTTTCGTTGAGAAGCATGGAGTGAAGTTAGGACTTATGTCAGGATTTGTTAAAGTATGTGTTTGTCATTTGCGGTGATTCCCCACCTTATATACAATTACAAATGTGCGTTTGTGCTTCAATTATTCAATTTTCATCAACAACTCCTCATTTTCTTTCAGCTGCTGTTAGTGGCCTCCAGAATCAGCCTATCATTAATGTTGTCATTAACGAGGATGATGACATCATTTATAGAGATTACATTGATATTAGTATTGCTATTGGTACATTGAAGGTTAGTCATTTATCTAAATGATGCAGAGGCCTTGTGATTAAAAGTGATGGAACTTTTAAAGTGTCCAATGATAACTATTGCTTTTAATGCCATTTAAATATACAAAATGATAGTTCGCTTCTGAAAGTTACTGGTGTTACTATCTTTAGTATGAATGATATTAAACCACTCTCAGTGCTAGTACTTGATGGGCTCATCTTCTCCTCATCTTTAGTATGAATGAATTAGTTGCCATTTTTGCCCTTATTTCTCACATTAAAAAGGCTTTCTTTTCCTCTCCTTTATCTTTCCCAAACAAGAAGAGAGGATAATCCATCATCTTCTCCTCATCTCTCCTAAACCAACATAGCACAGAGACCAGTACCACTATCCTATCTTTTCTTCTCTCTCCTACCTAATCATTTTTGTTCTTTTCACACCTAGTTTACCAAACTCACAAGTGTTCTGACCAATTACAATTCTTCTAGTTTTTGGGCCATCATGCAGTAAGTTTCAACAAAAAACTGAATTTCTTTAATGTGTGCATTCTTCTTCAGAGTTTATGGTTAAACTTGAAAAGGGAGAAGTTTTAATGACAAACTTAATATAGTTCAAAAAACAGAAAACTGATTCACTAATTGAAACTTTGCATCATATTATATATGGAAGTAGTTCGTTGGAAAATGTTACGGTTCACTGAATTTCACTCCGAGATTGATCCTCTGTGAATACAAGGTATCTGCTTGAACTTCAATTTCTTAGGTTGACTAACTTGAGAAGAAAGTGAAAGTCAAGCTAACTTATATACCTTTCAGTGTCATATTAACATCTTTTGAATCTAGAGCCTAATTTCCATTTATGAAAACTTATTCCTTACAAACTCTTTTTCAAACCGGTTGACTCACTAAAATTGTCAAACGGGGTTAGATGTCAACGAAACTTGACACACACAACATACTAGACACAAATGACTTGTAGGAGAAAACGGAACTCAAAACCGATTTCCGGTTTTGAATCTATAGCCTGATTTCTGTTTATGAAAACTTATTCCTTACAAACTCTTTTACGAACTAGTTGACACTAAAATGGTAAAACGGCATCGGATGTCAATGAAACTTGACACACACAACTAATTAGGCACAAATGATTTGTAGGAGAAGACGGAACTCGAAACCAATACCCGATTTTGAATTTGGAGCCAAATTTCCGTTCTTGAAAACTTGTCGAAATAAACTTTTTTTCGAACTGATTGATACAATAAAATGCTCAAGCGGCGTTGGATGCCAACGAAACTTGACACACGACTAATTAGGCACAAATGACTTGTAGAAAAATACGGGACTTGAAACCAATTCCGGGTTTTGAATCTAAAGCCAAATTTCCGTTCTTGAAAACTTGTCCTTTATAAACTCTTTTTTGAACCAGTTGACACACTAAAATGCTCAAACGGCGTCGGATGTCAACGAAACTTGACACATACGACTAACTAGGCACAAATGACTTGTAGGAAAATACAAGACGAGAAACCAATTCCCAATTTTGAATTTTGAGCCAAATTTCCATTCGTGAAAACTTGTCCTTTATAAACTCTTTTTTGAACCGGTTGATACACTAAAATACTCGAACGGCATCGGATGTCAACGAAACTAGACACACACGACTAATTAGGAACAAATGACTTGTAGGAAAAGACAGGACTCAAAACCAATTCCCGGTTTTGAATCTAGAGCCAAATTTCCGTTCTTGAAAACTTGTCCTTTACAAACCTTTTCTCAAACCGGTTGACACACTAAAATGCTCAAACAGTGTTGGATGTCAACGAAACTTGACAAACTTGACTAACTAGGCACAAATGACTTGTAGGAAAACCGCATAACAATTCATTCTTGTGTGTAGCACGTCGGGCCATGTCTCCCAAACGATCATAGTACGGTCGCTCATCTAATATAAAATCAATCGGTAACGGGACTTGAAACCAATTCCCGGTTTTGAATCTTGAGCCAAATTTCCATTCGTGAAAACTTATCTTTTTCAATTTTTTTTTTTTTGAACAGGTTGACACTAAAATGCTCAAATGGCGTCGGATGTCAACGAAATTTGACACACTTGACTAACTAGGCACAAATAACTTGTACGAAAAGAAGGAACTCGAAATCAGTTCCGGTTTTGAATCTAGGGCCAAATTCCCGTTCGTGAAAACAAGTCCTTTAGAAACTCTTTTCATCTTTTGTGTTTATTCGATTATTGTTAGATTATAGCACAATGTGTACAATCACTACCTTGGAGTTTGTGATTATATCTTCGCATATCGATATTGGAGTTTACAATCTTATTTATTTATTTATTTTTTGAAATAAATATAAAATGTTTTACATTTTCTGTAAGCTTGAAATTAATTATGTCGTAAATGATGAATTTTTTTTTTGTTTCTTTTTGCAGATGCAACCCTTTTGAGTACGTGATGATATCTTCACATATCGATATTGGAGCTTATTATTGATATCAAAATATGCTATAATATATATATATATATTTTTGTATTGTCGATACTAAAAATTTAAGTTATTGAATATAAAAAATTATTAGTATAGTTGGAGGTTGTTCTATATATTTTTCTAAAGAATATTTAGTTCACAATTGTTACAGAGTATGTATATATTATTCTTGGTATATGATTTTGTGAATGTGAATTTGGATGTGGATGTGGATTTTGATGTGGTTGTATTTTATTTTAAAAAATATTAATAATTTGTACAGGGAATGAATTAATAAAATATATACTGATTTTATTAAAATAATTTTATTGCGACAATAATAAACCGTCGCTAATGTAATCATCATTTCCTTACATTTTTTTAGCGACGGGTTAACTTGTCACCATATACATATTAGTTGAAATCTTTTGCGACGGTTTAACTGTTGCCAATATGGTATTAACTTAATACTATTCTTTTGGCGACGTTTTAGACCATCGCTAATAATACTTTTTGTGACGGCAAATACCGTTGCTAAAAAAGGTTTTTTGCGACGGCAATCAACATCATCACTAAAAATGTCATTTTTTTCCCTTTTTTTGTGTTAGGCGAAACCGTCGCAAAAATTATTGATTAGCCGTCGCTACAAGAATGGCAAATACTTTTTGTCACGCCTTTTTCCGCCACCCCCCATTTTCCGTCATTGCTTCGTCGCAAAAAGTCTTTTGCGACGATATATGGACCTTTTGCGATGTTTGAGACCGTCGCAAAAAGTCCGGTTTTTAGTTGTGAAAGAACATCTCTTTATCAGCCGTCATGGTTGCAAACACAACAACAACGAGGCGAAGGGAAGAGAAGGCGAAGGAGCAATCTGAGAAAAGTCATGTCCTTGCACTGTTGGGTTCCCAACTAATCAATCATCAAACCTAACAACTTGACTTGGCAAAAAAAAAAAAAAAAAACTACTTTGAATGTAGCAAACAGACATTGAAATGTAAAAATATGGAATATAAATTTGTGATCTATATTATATTTGAGAAGTAATTGTCTCTTTCTTTAAGTAATTAGTTTGGGTATATTATTGTTGTTATGGTGAATGATTGCCGACAGTGATTCACCTCTTCTCTTTTTTTTTTTAGAAGAAAGAAAAGAGAGTAAATGATAGTAAGCAATGAAGCCCTTCAATTTTACTTTTCCTTTAATGTCTCTTACCCGCGCTTCTCAATTCAGATAGGTTTAGCCAAATTAAGGGTTGTCTATACTCATTCCAAATTAAAGAATTGCCGCAAGTCCCTGTTTTGGGAAAGTAATCTTGCTTCACCGCCAACTCTTATAAATGAAAGTTTTTTTTTCACACGGCCTAGCTGATAGTAGGAGCATGGAAGCTGAATTGCAAGGTTCAACAATGGCTGCTATATTTGAAATGCTGTTTTTGTTGTATTTGCATTAATGAGTTTTACATCAATCATGTTTTGTCTAATAAATAGCTAATGTATCAGGTTAGTAAGAGTGTTGGGAGAATGAACAGAATTAGAGAGTAAGAAGTGTGTTTCTTCCCTCTTCAGTGTATTCTAAAATATTTGAGTGAATAAGTCTATTTTTTAGATAATAATCATCTCTCTTGTATTTGTTTTCGTGAACCACACACATAAGTGATTTGCATCCACACAACCACCAACAAGTCCAAACTTTAATTCAGTTGCACACTGTGACATGCTCCTACATATTTTATTATGGCATGATAATTTATGTGAAAGTTACAAAATTATATACATATATATATAATTAATGTTCATATATTGAAAATAGAGAAAAAGATAATAAAAGAGAATTTTTGAAATAAAAAAATACAATAAAAAATTAAAAAAAATGAATAATTAGATGAAAAATTGTGTTACTATAGAAAGTAGAGTTTTGCAATTTCAATTTCTGTAAAATCTTAATTATCTCCTTAAAGTCATTCATAATTTGTATTTTGTTTTGACCAAATAGGGTCATAATTTGATGATGTAAATTTTGAGACGAAACGTGTAGAGGGAAAAGATGAGGTGATTTTCCTCCTTTAATCTCATTTTGTAGTCATGGATTCTTTTAAAGACCTAAATAATGGAGTAACAGGAAAGGGAGGGGGGGAATGAATCACTTTGTTTGGTTAGAGTTTTTTAAAAATATTTTTCAAAAAATTCTATTTTCTTATTTTTTGTGTTTTTTTTGTTTTTACTGAATTTTTTTTACTTTTTAGACATACCTAACATAAATATACTTAAAAAGTAAAAAAAATGTGAATTTTTTTTTAAAAAATTCACTAAATATAAAAAATACAAAAAAAATACGAGAATTCAGTACATTTTTTTTGTATTTTTATGTATTTATTAATTTTTTAAAATATTTTTTCACAAATTTTTTACTTTTTACATACATCTAAATAAGGTGCATCTAAAAAAGTTAAAAAAATGTTTAAAATTTTAAAAATATTCACTAGAAACAAAAAAAATACGAAAACAAAAAAATTCAATTTTCAAAAAACTTAATTCAAAAAACTCAAACCAAACATACTGATTAGTACTTAACCAGAAATATAAGGATTGATTGTTACAATTTTATATATAAGGATTAAAGTGAGATTCTGTGTAAAGCGTAAGAGTATAAAATATAATTTACCCAAAAGCTTATATAAACAAAATGGCTTTTTAGATTGAGTTTGACAATATTTTTTTTAAATATGTAAAAAAAAAATAATAATAATAATAAATGCAACAATTTACGAAAATATACCGACTTTTTTTTGTTGTTGTTGTTGTTGTATTTTTTAATATTTTTGTGTATAATAAAGAGAAATTTATACCTGAAAGTCTCGTAATCTTGCATACTTATCAGTTTTGTTTTTTTATGTTTTTTTATTTTTTATGATCACACAAGTCCTATTGTTTTCAAAAAGTATTTCATGAGATCTTTTTAGATTTATTTTTTATCATATCAATATTTTTTTACTTTTTTCTCAAATGTGACAATCCAATGTGACGGATATAATGTGACATTGGATATATTTAAAAGATCTGTTAAAAAATTCTTAGTATACTTTTTCTAAATGTAATATTTAAAAAAAAAAACTCATTAATATACTTTTTCCAAATATAACATTTGAATATAATATTTCAACAAACAATAACAATTAAAGAAATTATAATGATAAATGAGTCATAACATCTAAAATGACTAAAAATGAATCACCAAAAAAAATATGTAACCCTATATGGATCACAAGGTTATTGGTCAATCTCTCTTTAATAAATTTTTAATTTTCTTTTATAAAATACGACTGCATTTTACACAACTGTGCTGTAAAAAAAACTATGGTTTATGGATAGCCACTCACGATTTGTCACACGTAAATATATTCAACAATCACAATAAAATTTTTCCTTCCAACACCTCCTCTCTGTTTTTTTCTATCTTTTTATTTTTATTTATTTATTTACTTTCATAGCCACCGCTCCGACCACCATTCCCCTACACACCACCACAAAAAGTAAACAAATCAAAAATAAAAAAATAAAAAAATAAATCAAACCAAACCAAATCAAAAATCATCGTCCTGACAAATATATTTTGGATTGAACACCAGCAAGAAGAATATAAAGTTTTAGCACCATCATCAGTAGCCATTCATTGAAAACTCAATACAGATTGTCTATTTGGTTTAATTGGAACTGGATTTCTATTTTTAATTGTGATGGTGATGGTAGGTTCAAATAAGAAGATTCTAAACAAGATGTGGCAGCAATTGTCAACCATGGGATCAGTGTCGGCGTCGACGGTAATTGGGTCTTCCATCTGATCGTTACGGCAATTGGGTCTTCCATCTTTATTGCTGACAAAATAAAATAAAAATTGGGTCTTCCATCTGATCATCTTCCATTAATGACCATGGATTTTAGAGGTTATGGATTCAGTTAAACGGTTTGAGTCGGGATTTGTGACTCGCGAGGTTCCATGAGGTATGAGTTTGTGGTATGAGGACCCTCAATATCTTATTTTTCCATATTTTTCTACATGAGTTTTAATTCGGATTCGCTTTAATGATTTAAATTATCTACCTCGTATGTCCCATAAGGAAAGTCATTCATGCAAAAAATTAACTTCATCGGACAATTATAAATATATGAACAATTACATTTTATTTTATAAAACAAAATGTGATTGTTTTCGTGTTTATAATTGTTAGATAAAATTAATTTTTTACATGAATAGCCTTTATTACGAGATCTACAAAATAGATGATTCGAATCATCAATTCAAGTTCAAATTAAAATCCATAAAAAATATTAAAAAAAATATGAAGAGATAAATTATGAAAGAGAGCTGATCCCTTAGAAAAGGTACATCAGGAGAGAAGAAAACAAGATGTGAATTCCACTTGGTATTGCTAATATGGCCCATTTCGATTGGATGTCCATAAACATTATCCGTAAACAATTTAATCTCTTATAGAAATTTATACTTTTAAAGTATTTCTAAATTAAGTAATTTAAAAAAAAATTGATTAAAATATAATAAATAAATAAATAAACTAAAACTAAAATATTGTTCCGACAATGCAGGTTGTGAATTCCTCAACCGAAATAGTAACGCACACCATTGTAGATCAATTGGAAGTTCAATATTCTCTGTTTCGCACTGCTCTGCAATCTCGCGATCCACTGGATCTCAAGCTTTTCTCCCTCAATCATCAAAAATAATTACTAGACCGCGTGTAGTACAGTTTTAAAATTTCAATTTCAACATTGACATGGCATTTTTTTTGACAGTACATTTGAATTATAAATTTGGGTCAAATTTGAAAAGACAAAAAGTAGGAGATATGTAAATAAGAGAAAATGATATACAAGTTTATTTTTTAAATTTATTTTCTAAATTTAATGATATGTAAGTGATATGATTAGTTGTTGATTAGAGAAGACATGAGAGGAAGTATTTGGTTAGGGGATTTGGAAAAGAATTTGAAAATGAAAATGAAAAAAATATGTAAAATTAGGTGAAATATAGATATATTTTATTCACATTTCACTT